GCTTGAAGTATACAGTAGGCTTAAATGCACAATACTTCTTTATAATACATTTAAGCAGTCAATTTTTTAATTCCTTTTACTGTCCTATTGTTCTTTGATATAGGAGTGCAGTGTTCAATACCACAAGGTTTCCCACTAGGTAAGAAGGTATTGGCAGAAAGGATGTATTTAATGCATCTAAGCTTTTAATTGTTTCTTAGGAAGATGTACAGAAAGAGATCTTTAGTAAGCATCATAAAGGCTTGAAGCGTTAGTTGTATCAGCTGTTGGCATATGAACTGTAACTTTGGGGTATTTTTAAATGAGAACTACTTAGGGTTGCCCAGGAGGGCATGTCTCATTGGCGTCCTGTGGTAGGATTACCTCAGTAGCTTTTTCCCAAAACAAAGAACAAATATTTATGGAATATTTCTGCCTTTCTTATGTTTTTAGTAATAATTCTATGATGTTTTGTAAGAAAAGCTGTGCTTAGGATTCTTTACCCATAATACATTTAAAAGAGCTTCTTATTATCTATACATCTGCTGGCTATGGGTTTCTCTTGTTTTATCTTTATTACTTGACTTGCATATAGAAAATAATAGTTTATTTTAAGACTGTGCCTATCTAACTGTCAGGAATTGGTTCATCTGCTATTGCTTTGTCAGAAAGGTTGCTCTATATTAGTATGTTAGTATGTTTATATTTCTTCCATGTATACATACTTAGATTTACTGTCCCATTAATTTCTCAGTCATTCCTGAGTATCTTAATTTGTGTAGGTCATCTATTCTTAAATAATTTTATTGTCTGTCCTTTGAAAATTATTTCCATATCCTAGTGAATATTGGAGCTAGACATACAATCTTAATAATAGTCTCAATAATCTAATTCCTATTTTATATTCTTCTTGTATTTGTCTGTAATATTTAAACATATAAAGCAAAAATTGATAGGAAATATTTATTCCTTCTTTGCATCATTTACATTTTTATCATCTGCTCCCTGCAAGGAGCCTTTTGCCATTCGTTTCTCCCTTCCCCTTCTTGTAGGTTGTTCTGTTCTCTTTATTTTTCTCACTTGCTGCCCAATAATAATTTGTTAATTCGTACTGTATCTTTCATGTACGTCTAATACCGCTGGCAAAAATCTTGCAGTCGTCTTGTCTTCTTTCACGTGGTTTACCTCATTCCATGGTGTCTGCTGTGACGTTGACCAGAGGGAAGAAATCCCCTTTAATACTTCATGCTTTGTGAGGGGTTCAGTTTTTCAAACTACATCACTTTGTCAGGGGCTGTACCATATGACCGCTTCAGAAGTAGTAAAGCTATTCTCTCTTTCATTTCTCAAAAAAAAAAAAAAGAGAAATATAATTACCAAATGGTGTTTATGTGTTCTTTAAGTGGTGCCAAAAGTTTGAATGTCTTATCTGTGGTTATACTGCAATTCAGTAATACAGTTAATAAGGTGTGACGGTATAATTAAGTCCATTTCACTACACTTGCAGATGTTAGACCAAATGCATTCTTGATGTAATCTGTAAGGGATGGTAAAGACCTCAATTCTTACTCTGTGATCACAAATATGATTTGCCGGGTTTCTTTGTCTTGTGATGTTGAGGTACAGCCATTCTCCATGAATAAGTAGTCTCTCCAGTCGGTCTCTCACTGTGATTACATACATAATGGAAAATGCAATTCTTCTGGTTGTTTAATTGTACTATATGTTGACAACATTTCTGAGTACTTATCTTTAGCAGCTCGATTCTATATATCCAGATTTGCAGAGTAGGCATTTTAGGCTTGTGTCAAGTCTCTGAATTAACTCATCATTTTACAGCCCTTTGAACTTGTTTTCTTGAGATACAGTTTAGATTGAAGCAATTTAGATTGAAATTTGGTGCAGATTTCAGTTCTAAAAGTATATTGTCCCTTTTGTATTAAGAAAAACAACATTTTGTGCTTGTTCTGTTCTAGTACGGTATCACTGAGATTATTCTATATTCAGAGCAAGAAAGTGCTGGGGGTTTGGATCATGGGTTTTTTTGTATTTTTGGCAGTCTTCATTTACTTAATTATTTCTGCTTTGAATTGGTAACTTCAAAGCTAACAGAAGTGTGTAAAGTAATATAAATGTTTTTGTCATAGCTTGGTTGTCATTCTTAACCCTTCTTCTGCTTCATTGCTTTTTTTTTTTTTTTAATACCAGATATAAACCTCAGCATTTGATAGTGCAACTTTAATGTCACGTTGGCTTTTATCTGTGAGTTAAAAATCAGTAAACTGTTTGTGTCAGAAAGTAAGAGTTAGCCATACATGGAGGGAAATGCTGTCAAATGTTCAGTCGCATTAAAGTTTAACTATTAGAAAGAATAAATGTTCCTTTTTACCTTCTGTCTGAAAGACTATTACAATGTAGTTGAGATTCTCTATGAAACTTTATCATAACCTCAGACTGAAATGAGAGGAAACCGAATGATTCTGGGATGTGAAATTATGTTCACTGAGTCCATTTCTGGCAAAACTGCGCTTGTCATATTGTGGAAGTTACAATTTGCTTTATTTAAAAGAAGCTAAAGAGTTTTGTAAATTTTTATTTTAATTTTTTTTATTTTTATTTTAACTGACTGAGCTAATATATGACCAAATATAAAGGATGAATGAACATGCCAAATTGGATTCTAAAGGATTCTAAACCTTTTTACTGCAACTTTGTGGTGGACTAGAGAGGACTAGCAGATGCCTAGACAGGGATCACTGCATTCTTTAGTTCTTATGCTGATCTGCTTATTGACGTTACTCAAGGAATTTTCTCTGAGCATTTTCTTATCTGAAAATGGGAATAATGGTGCTATCTATTTTGTGTAGTATTGGAATGTGAAAAAAATAGCAAAAAAAGAACCAGTTATTATTCGTACAGGAAAGATGAAGATTAGTTAATAATAACTTGTTCCAAGAAGTAGTAAGTATTCCTCAGGAAGAAGGGATTGAAGGTAAGAAGACAAGTGAATGTTTCTCAGAAGGTAGAAGGTAAAAGTAATTCCTGAAATCTTGATTCCAAAGTAATTAAAGCACTGACAGACCCTTAATACACAGTTTTTCCCCCCAGTAAACCTCATACTGACTGGAAGCAGCTAGCTGTCTGGCACCTAGAGTCCAGTCATGAACAAAAAGAGAAAAATTTGTGTACAGTCAGTCCCCTCTCTGTGTTAAAAGAGGATGGGGGATTCCTACATAGCTGAATAGCTGATTTTAGCCAAGATTACTATGGTGGCTAAGGCTGGAAGTATCCTTCCTGACTTCCTGTGGAAGTGAAGATGCTAGTTTCCCCCTCCCACTTGAATATTAACGATTTGTATGCTTGGCATAACTATCTACAATTGTATTGTTTTCTCCCTTTCTCAAAAGGAGCAGAAACTGGAATCCTTCAATTAACTAAACCTATGAATGTGTTTCAGACTGAAATAGTTTGATGGGCAGGTGACTTCATATTAGTTTACACTTCAACATTGTCTGGGATTTACCCAAAGGCTAAGATAAATACTTGTCTTCAGGATGAGGAATGTTAGGCTTTCATTCCCAAGTAGTCATTCCACATTGTGTGGCTTAATTTTGAAATAGCAAATTTACTAAGGTGTTCTGATTGTTTCCATCTAGTGGATGTTTTAAGGAACACACCTCAGTCTGTAAGTATACTGGATCTGTACACCAAAGTAAAGATACAGTTTGAAACTCCTAGTTTCTATATTACTGTAATATAAAGCAACCTGATTTCTGCAAGAAACTATTCTGGATATAGCTTTTGCTTTGGCTTAGCCAGAGTAAAGATTCCTTGAAGTTCTTCTGGTGTATGCTTCCATACAATAATCAACAGTATGTGCATATGTACCAGCATAATATACTCTGAAAAAGGTATGTGTAAAATCATAACTGTAATGTGGTACAGCTATACAAAGAATGTGTCTCAAAACTTACCACAATCTAACATTTTTTGTGTTTCCAGTGTTTTAAATGTGATTTTAGCATATTTTTAAATTAAATTTTGCTTACATCTTTGCTCTGAAAACTATAAATCACAGACTTGTCTTGAAAAAGGCAGAACTGGATTAGAAAGAATTTGCTAGATTATGAAATCCAGCACTTAATGTTACTGGAGATAGGGCTATCCTTTCCCTCTCATTGGTTGATCAAGCGCCGCTTTTAAACAATCAGTTATTGCACTTGTTTCTTCTTTGAGGATGCTGTTGTAGAAGGTCAGTCCTTTGGTTTAAAAACCTCCTGCTTATTCCAGGCCAAATATATTGTTGGCTAGTTAATATCTATTTGTTATTTTGCTAGTGTTGTGCCTCATCTTAAATACATCTTTTTCCCTATATAATGTTTAACCCCCCGAGCTTCTTCAGAAAGAGCAAACCTTTTCGTCTGCTGCTTTTGAGTGCTAAACAGCATACTCACATAATTTCTTACAAGAGAATTTTCTCTTATTTTCATTTTTCATAACCATGTTAATAGTTGTACAGTTGTTGTACTTGTTCTATAATACGTTTTGTTCCGGGTAATGTATTGCAAGTGCTTTTGGCGATTGCACTACTGCTTTCTGGGTACCTGGTGGGAATTTCTAAGACTACTGTGTTCTGGGATTGTCTGTGCCTTTTTTCCACAACTGCGTCACGTCATAGCTCATTGTTGACAAATTAAGGCACCAACTCTCTCTAACTTTGCATTCAGTTATGTATTAATTTATAGCCCTCTTTCCCAGCTTGTTTTTCCAAGCTTCCCCCAGCTCTGGAATTCCATGCTTTTTTCCTTTGTACCTGGGATTATGTCTCTTGTCTTCGGAGTTCTAACTTCTATTCAGGTTACAGTTAATGCAGTATTGTGTGGTGAGAACCAACTAAAATCTGTGAGACGTGGTATATATTACATACTGTTTACATGTGATGTAAATGTCTGTGTGATTTTGTGTATTATGATTTGCTCCCTTGATATATTCAGTGCTTTTATTGTCTGTTTTCCTCACAGCCGGTTGCTGAACCAATTCCAATCTGCAGTTTCTGCCTTGGTACAAAAGAACAAAATCGGGAGAAGAAACCTGAAGAGCTCATCTCTTGTGCTGATTGTGGCAACAGTGGTAGGTGACCATTTACAGGGCTGCTAGTCATAACCCGTCCACTTGAGACAGAAGAGCTTGGTATAGTGACTGCTACTGACCCATACATATGAGGAATATGCATCTAATAATAACCTTGCCACTTGAGACAGAGAAGTCTAGTATAGTGACTACTCCTGACCCATACATATGAGGAGTTTGCATCTACAGCATATAATACAGTTAGTCCAGTTGAATCTCATGCTCCCAGAGGGGAGACAGTTAAGTTGACACAAATAGTTCATTTGGGTCCTGGAAGTTTCTTTCAAAATGTGGTAATGATGACCAGTTTTATCATGTTTCTCAATTCAGTTATGAAAAATTATCTTGGCGTTCTTTTGTATGTGGGCCTGCCACTTGCTATCTAGGGTATTGTTTTTGTGTTACAAGTAGATAAGAATGGAAGCACCTAAAAATAGGAGTATCTGGATAACCAAAATTCTGCATGGGAATACGTACTTGATAAAGTAATCTCTCTGTGAGCTATCTGTAAGCATTAACAGCAGTAGAATGGTTTTACTGGTATAATTTTCTCCTTTTTCTGTAGGTCATCCGTCCTGTTTGAAGTTCTCTCCAGAGTTGACAGTTCGAGTGAAAGCTTTGCGATGGCAGTGTATTGAGTGCAAAACATGCAGTTCCTGTCGAGATCAGGGCAAAAATGCTGTGAGTACAGTGGAATGTGGACTGAATGAAGACTATATCAGTCTTGTGGATGTTCTGTTAAACTATAAAATAAAGTCATTCTAGAGTCAAATATTTGCAGCTTTTGTTTGAGTCTGGTAGTTTTTCCGAGACCTGTGAAATACCATGATATGTCTGTAGTTGTAAACTATGTGCATGTGCTCTGGGATGGTTACAAATTAATGGAGGTCTTGATGCTGATGCATATCTAAAGAGGGATTAACTTTATCTGTCTTCAACAGGATAACATGCTATTTTGTGACTCATGTGACCGTGGCTTTCACATGGAGTGCTGTGACCCTCCTCTTACTAGGATGCCAAAAGGTGAGGACTTTGTGTTGAAAAGGGTAATTTAAGATGCTATTGGAAGAGATCAGTGGGTAGAAAGTGCTTCCACATAGTTGGTCCTCTTTTAGCTACATTTAACTTGTTCTTTACAGCATTGCTTTTCAGGTATTAGAAACTAGAGAAGGGTCAGAGCTTCACATGTGGATTTTCCACTGTCTCCTGCTTCCTGTACATTACTGACTGTGAAGGGTTTTGGAAAAAATCTTTGAGGTTTGAGGGAATAGAATTGATCCTTGCAGATTAAAATGATCAGCTTCCATTTGAATGAATAACCTTGTACAAAAGAAGGACTTGGGCTTCTAAGTTTTTGAAGTCATATCCATTTGGACAGTAGAGAATCCTGGAGTACAACCAAACGTCTCTTTTCTGTCAGAAAACAGGTTATCTATGGAAGATTCTTCCTTGGCAGTTAGAAGAAAATTTTCCTATAGAAGATAGTTGGAAGTAGTGTAGTCAGAAGCAGAATATGGGATAACTAATTGTGTTACTTTTTTTATGGTTTTCTGATAATGTGCTACAAATTAAAGAGACTTCCTGCATGGTTGTGGGAAGTATATCGGGGGGTAGGGATGGATATTAACCGGACTTGAGTTTAGATTGCTGGAACATATACATAATTTTTCTTACATGTATATGTGTAATAATTGGGGCTTTAGTACTGTTCCTACCCTTTCTGTCGAAAGGCCTGGGGCCTGTAGTTCTCCTTTTTGTCCTATATAGATGTCCCTTGCATTCAGTGATAGGGACTTGTCTCTTATAGGTATGTGGATATGTCAAATATGTCGGCCACGGAAGAAAGGAAGAAAACTTTTACACAAGAAGGCAGCACAGATAAAACGACGCTATGCTAACCCAATAGGACGTCCCAAAAACAGGTTAAAGAATCAAAATACAACGTAAGTCTCTATAAGGCGGAGTAAAGTGTGAGATTCTATAGGGCAGTGTGTATTTCTGAAGTCTCTGGTCTACTCTGTGAGAAGACTTCTTTTACAATGAAGAGCTTTTTGTTATTCTTTAATACAGAATTTCTGAAGAGTGTTGTGAAAGACTGGAAGTAATCTCAGTGCTTCTTTTTGCCTAGATTTTTGACTTTTTGTAGTAACTTACTATTTAGTTTTGAACTATTCCTTATAGTCATAGGTGAATTTTGCTGTTTGTGTGAAGTCTATGTTGCTGGATGGCTGCTGCTTCCAGCATAATTGTTTTGCTTTGCATTTCTCAAGAACCCTTTCTGATGTTTAGAGAAACTAAATAATCTACAATAAAGCATGTGATGTGATTGTTTGGCATATATTTAATCTGACACTGCTGCCAGAAAATATTTGGCCCCTTTCTGCTTCCATTCCACATGTTTCTGCGTTGGTGGAGCACTCTATTGTGCTGGGACAGATTGTGTGGCCTTGTCATGGTTGTTGTGGGGCAGCCAGTTGTCAGGGAATTGGATTTGGGTGGGCGGGAATTCTTTGGATAACTGTTCAGCTAGAGCAATTTCCTTGAATCAAGATTGCTGTGCAGTGCTTGTTGTGATGCAGCACTATTGACTGTGCAGGGGACAAAACAATAAAGGAGCATGTCATGAGAACTTCTGTTTTGGGCATCAGATCAGCTTAAAAAAAAAAAAAAAGTTGAACTACTGCTTGATTCTAACCAATAGCACCAAAGGATGTTCTGGAAAAAAACTTTATGAAGTTTAATGCTTATAAAAACGTAGAGGGAATGTCTCTCCTAAATGTCCTAATTTTTTTCAGTCTGTGTGATACCTTTGCTTAGAGGAACTTCTGATATAATTCAGAGGAGCAAAAGGAAAGCTAGCTATCTGCTATTGCTATTTTGTCTCTTTTAATTTTTATTTCATGATTTATTCACAATTTTTTTGCCTTTGTTCCATCATTTCACTTGCAAAATATATCCACAGAATCATGCACAGATGCTTAGTTTGTCTTTTTAGGAAAAAGCAGCCTATTTCTATCTTCTGTAGCTGCAAAGATTGTAGCTAAAAACAGTCAGCTTCCTGAAACAGCAGTTGGTCTAGGGCAATCCCTCTGAGAAGTGTTAAATACTCAGTTATCTCAATAGAGTTTGAAAATTTCCAGCCTGAAAGATGGCAGCTGGTTGGAGACGAACACTCTTTTCTGCTAAGATGGCCATTAGTGGTATAGGTTCTTAGCTAATGTGCATGTCCTGCATGCATTAACTTTCTGTGTAGTTCTTATGACAATTTTCTATCAGTACGAAAACTTTGACAAATGACAAGTGTAAATGTTTAATAACTGCGTAAATTGAAACCTTCTGTGCAATGTATTCATTCTGGCTACTGATTTTAAAATTGAACGTTGTATTAAATTTGGTGAAAATCTATTGTTTATACTCAATTGCACATAATGTTCAGTGTGGAGAAAAATAGTACAGTACTTCTACGGCAATGTTTAGAATCCTGGCTGCTCTAGGGTACACAGGTTCTTGACTACTCCTTTATTATTAAATTCTTCAGTTCATGTTTAGCTTCTGTGTGATTGATAAATAAATAGGGAAGTTGGTAGTCCACTCTGCAACCCAAAATAAACAGCCTTACCAAATCTTCTGACCATATCTTTCCCCTTCTCATTCTTTAGATCAAAAGGCCCTTTCAGCAAAGTTCGAACTGGCCCTGGTCGGGGTCGGAAGCGTAAGATTGCTCTGTCCAGCCAGTCAGCATCGTCAGAAGGGGGATACCTGGAGCATACAGACGTCTTGGACTTCTGCAGAGATGGCAGCACCACCTTGAAATTTAACAAGAAAACCAAAGGGCTTATAGATGGCCTTACTAAATTCTTCACTCCCTCCCCTGATGGACGAAAAGCTCGAGGGGAAGTGGTAGACTATTCTCAGCAGTATAGGATCAGGAAAAAGGGTACCAGGAAATCTAGCACTTCAGAATGGCCCACAGGTAAAGATTTTTCACCCTGCCAATGTAAGTATCCTGTACACCAAGAAAATGTTCAAAGGCTAGGATGTTGAAGTGACTAGAATTGTTAGAGGCTGGAAACTTTGAGCTGAAAGTTAACACTCAAATGCAGTTATCTTTGGTGCACTGAGGTAGAATACCAGTTGGAAAAAGGAAGTGGTCTTAGAGACCTTTGCCGCTTTATTTATGATGGCAAGGTGTGATGAGGGATTAAATGATAACTGTGAGGTAAAATACCCTTTGGTAATGAGGGGCTTGCAGATAGCCCTAGGAAATGTGCTAAATAATGTCACATTTGAAAGAAGTAACAAAGGGAGTGGTGAATGAAAGTAAGAACAGCAAGATGGAAGTATGAAATGGGAAACAGATAATTAAAACCAGTCTGACAGACCCATGAGTTTCTGATCTTATGGTATAGGCTTGCGTGCAAATGTTTCTTAATTTTCTCAGCCGTAGAGGAGCCTGCTTCGTGCAGTTTGGCACCTTCTTGCTGGAGAGAATCGCTTCTTTTGAACGCAGTTCTGCTTTCTGTGTTTTGTTTTCTAGCTTAAGACATTAATCTATGACTGGACCTTGATTTAATCTCTGTATTCAGATCTTTACAGTCTTGTTGAATAGTTTCATAGCTTGAATTGTTCCTAAGCAAGCAGTGGAAAATATTCCACAATAACATACAAGGTTTTATTTTAGAATAGTTATGTGCATTAGCCTGGCTGGTGGTGGAAGAACAATAATGTATCTTAATGCTTTGGGGGTGAGGTGAAGTGTCTTGTGGGTTTTGTTTGCTTTTTTTGTAGAAGTAGTGTTTCTTGGGTGATGAACATAAGTGTCCTGGGTTTGTTTGCACCAGATACAGCATTTAAATAGTTGTGATCTTTATGAGAAGTGGGCATAGTGGTAAGCCATTTATCCCAAACTGCCTCATTGTTACGAATGCCTTCATGATACTATGAATGTCTAAGTGGTGAGTTTTGGACCGGGTTAAATATATGACAATACTTCTTACATGGTCACAAATCCAGAACTGGTTCTTTCTTTGTGGTCCCAAATCTGAATAGAAGATCCCATCAAAAAAACCCTGGCACGGTGTCTGAATACAGCCAGATGATGTTTGTCACTGCACTAAAAAGCAAGTACTCCTTTGCAAATGTAGGTGAAGACAGTTTTCTCTCTCATTTACAGACAATCAGGATGGCTGGGATGGAAAACAGGAAAATGACGAGCGTTTTTTTGGGAGCCAGGATGTCTTAACTGAAAAAGACATGGAGTTGTTTAGAGATATTCAGGAACAAGCACTGCAGGTAAAGTTAAATTTTCAGTGTCTGGCAGTAAGTATGAAATCTGTAAAAGAAATTTAAACAAACCCCACGCCAACCCAACAACAAAAAACAACAAGAAATACAGACTCCAGATGAGTCTGTCATAGAAGCTAACATGTTTGGTTCCTGCGTCTTGAGAGTAATGGAGAACTGCCCTCAAGAGAGCTGAACGATAATGTAGAAGTGAGCATAAGAGCATCAGAGGTTAAGGTGGGCATCTAAAAAGCCTTGAGGGCTGTGGCTTTAGTTGTGTCAGAACATAGAGCTGTTAAATAGCTGATAAAACGTGTGGACTATTAAAACAAAATATGGGACTCTTTGCTAGCAGCATGGGTCACATAGGGCTAATTAAAACATTCTTTTTCTAGATACTTTAACTCCTTATGGAACAGGATAGGGCATTACTCTGTGTGTCTATATGCACATATGTGTGTAGTGTGTGTGTGTGTATCTCTACCTGTACATTTCAATAACTTGAATGGTCTTATGATAAAGGGATCAATTGAATTTATGCAGTGACTTCCCTGAACAGTGCTTTACTAAGTATAACTGTCCTTTTAAACTTCTTCAGGTATTTGACTTCTGTTTATTTACCTATGATTCTGTCATAGGCTGGTTTAATTCTACTATACTAAATATAGTCTCTGTACCAAAAGAGTTAGTGAACAATGACTCGTGATAAGACTGAACTACACTGTGTGTGATAAAGCAGACTAAGATGAAGTGCAGTTAACTCTTTTATTGAGGTGCAAATACAACACTACTGTATAACACTGCTTATTTCAAACTTTGTTACAGGATTAATTTTAAAAAAACTCAGCACATGCATCATTGAGCAAATCTCATATGAGACTATGGCTTGTGACCATAATTATGTTTTAGAAAAATAACTGAAGATCTGAAATTAAATCTATGGAAATATACCCGAACAGAGAAAATACTAATCTTCAAACATCTGCTTAGAAAAAGGAGCAAGTTTTGGAGATATTTAGTTATTTATTTATTTATTCCCTTGTGTGGGGAAAATACTTGTTGTAGATTAAATACTTTAAATTTAAGGTGGCTAGTTAGCTGGTTTTGGTGAGGAAAGGGTTGACCAGAGTTGTGATGCAGCTGATACAGGGGCCCTGTGCGTGTACACCGAGCTAACTGCCTCACCGAAGAAAATGAAATACAAAATGACGTATCAAAGGCTTTTGAGTGAGCTGAGGAAAAGATGCTGCATGTTAAATGTTCAAGAAGAAAGTTACGAAGAGCTATCTGCAGCTAGCATAGAGGCTGAAGCAGTAGTCTGCTCTTGAAGGCTTTCTTCTAATGACCGTGTTGTGTAAACAGTTGTATGGGAGCTGCGTCTCTACATTTGTGTTGGGCATTCATTCGGAGGAGGGGTTTGTTGCTGAAAAGAAGGCAGAGGTGCAGGACTCATTGTGCAGGTGCATGTTACTCTGTTTTCCTTAAGATTTGTCAGATGCCTGTGATAATTGTGTTTCTACTGGGTGATAATAGTGGTTCCTTTAAAACTATAGTGCAGGAGGTGCTTAACAATAGATTATCACAGCTATAAAGAGCTGGCTTCATAAACTGCTCTGGTGGTTATTTGTTCTGCCAAGGAGTGAAATTCTTGTGTTGTGTGCAACCTTGTATCAGTTACCAAAAATGCAGAGGTTGTGCTTTCCTTTCTCATGGAATCCTCACAAATAGCAAAAGCTTTTAGCACCCGAGATTGTGCTTATTTAATAGTATTGTCTTTATTCTTTTTCTTAAATACTAGGAGCTTGTTCTTGTTAAATCTAGCTTTTGAGTTGAAGTAAGATAAATTGACTCTCTTACCTAGTTTCCATCCTAGTAGGTAGCCTAAGATGAAAGGAGAAGCCTAAGGAATAAATCCATAAACTGCTGGGAATTAAAAATAATAATTAAGTGGTTGTGGATCATATGCAGGTAGTAAGCTCTGAGACTTTATTTGACTGACTATTGAAATATTCTGTTTATCTTCTGAATAAGAATAGAAGGAAACATGAATCCGTTACCGATGGCTCTATTTGGAGCTCTTGGATTTTCATAGGAGATTACTGTCCTTTTCCATCTAGATAGAGCTCCTTAAAATGTGTATGCCTATGATTAGAATCTGAGGTGACTTCTGCCTATACTAGTCCCACTTAGGAAACTTAGAAAAATATTAATTTTGAACGTTAGCCTTTCAAACCCTAAACCATAGTCCTGGGTATAGCTGTTTAATTCTGCTAGCATAAACTTGCATATAGCTAGTTCACTGGTACTCTTTACATTAGTTTCTGACCTCCTCCATGAAACGTGGTCTCATTTCTTAACAGCTTTGCAGTCCAGGTCGTTCATATGATAATGCAAGGCCAGTGGGAATTGTTTTCTTTGAAAGCAGAGCATTTAGTTTCCTTATTTTTAATTCCCATAAAATGCACAGTATTATCAGAGAGACAGGGGAAATAAAGGTTGAATAAGTAATTTAAAAATACTGTATCTTCTGGTTTTTTTTCTTCTAATAAATAATTTGAGGTTTTTCTTTAAGTCTTCTGCACTCGTGATGATAAGCAGGTAGCCGTACCCTGAATATTGTTTTGGTAGATACTACTTTCGCAGTAGTACATACAGTGTCGGAGCTGGGAAGATACTGATGTGTTATGTTAGATACTTGAATATTGTAGATCTTAACTGCAGGAGCAGTTTATGTGTTTCTGTTCTTGGCTATTGAAATAACAAGAAAGGAAATAGCAATGGGACTGAAAAATGATTGTATTAAATTTTGCTGTGTACTAATTTGTATTTAAAACTACGACATGCAACAGTGTGAAAGGTAGTGGAGGTATGTGGTGTGACAATGCTTACTAATTCTTCCTTTTTGTGAATCACATGCTTGCTTGAAGTGTGACTGGTACTGGTTTTTAGTGTCAGAAAGCAAAGTCTGCATCTTCCTAATTCTCTGTGAGTTTGAGTAGGATGGACTGTGGGAATGTTTTCATTTATTTCAGCTTAGAAGTCTTTCACTTGGAAATTCACGAAAAATTTTTTTTCCCCTTGCATAGAAAGTAGGGGTGACTGGGCCTCCTGATCCACAAGTCCGATGCCCTTCTGTCATCGAATTTGGCAAGTATGAAATCCAGACCTGGTACTCCTCCCCATATCCACAGGAATACTCGAGGTATGACTGAACATTCTTCTCCTTTGTTCTGCTTCAGTGTTTATGGGAAAGCTGTACTCCAGCAGGCATAGAAATCTTAAGAAGATTCTATCTGAATGTAGGACAGAAGTAAAGTACACATAATCCAGATACTTTTCATGGTAGTTAATAGATGTCTTAAGGTCTTTTTAGGCTGAGTCAAAAAGTTGATAAGTTCTGTGCAACAACCTGCATATGCTGTGAGCATTCGAACTGCCACAGGAATATATGTTGAGATGGATTCCCAAAGAACTGACATATTCCACACTGAGGAGGGAGCAGCCTCAGCTAAATGACATGGTGCTGGGCTGTTATTAAGCATGTGAGTGATCTGACTCTTAGAGTACATTGGTTCTTTACATGTGGTATCATAGAATGGTTTAGGTTGGAACGGACCTTTAAAGACCATCTAGTCCAACCCCCCTGCTGTGGGCAGGGACATCTTTCACTAGATCAGGTTGCTCATAAGCCCGTCCAGCCTGATCTTGAACACTTCCAATGATGGGGCATCCGCAGTTTCTCTGGGCAACCTGTTCCAGTGTCTTAACCACCCCTATTGTAAAAAATGTCTTCCTTCTATCCAATCTAAATCTATCTGCTTTCAGTTTAAAGCCTTTGCCCCTTGTCCCATCACTACAGGCCCCGGTAAAAAGTCTCTCTCGGTCTTTCTTATAAGCCCCCTTTATATATTGAAAGGCTGCAATAAGGTCTCCCTGGAGCCTTCTCTTCTCCAGGCTGAGCAACCGCAACTCTCTCAGCCTTTCCTCATAGGAGGGGTGTTTCAGCCTTGGATCATTTTTGTGGCTGTCCTCTGGACTCAGTCTAACAGGTCTGTGTCTTGTACTGAGGACCCCAGAGCGGGATGCAGTACTCCATGTGGAGTCTCACAGGAGTGGAGTAGAGGGGGAGAATCACCTCCCTCAACCTGCTGGCCACAATTCTTTGGATGCAGCCCAGGATACGATTGGCTGCCTGGGCTGCAAGCACACATTGCTGACTCACGTCCAATTTTTCATCCACCAGTACCTCCAAGTCCTTCTCGGCAGGGTTGCTCTCAATCCATTCATCCCCCAGGCTGTATTGATACCAGGGATTGTCCCCACCCAGGTGCAGGACCTTACACTTTTTGCTTTGTTGAACTTCATGAGGTTTGCATGGGCCCACTCCTCCAGCCTGTCACGGTCCCTCTGAATGCCATCCCTTCCCACCAGCGAATCAACTGCAGCACTCCTCATGATAAAAAATAATAAGTTTGTTTAGGGAATAGGCAGTTAACTGTGTATTAAATTATTTGATTAGAATTGGCTGTATACTATCTATGGGAGTTGAAAGAGAAAAATAAATAGAAATTTCACAGGAATTACTTTGATGTATTATTTTTATGCTGTATGTAGTTCAACACAGCTAAAGAAGAAATGTTTAATGTTACATGTTTTGGCATCTGAAACGTTGTTCTGCTGTGATGCACGTATAGTTGTTTTGATGTTCTCTTGCTTAAGAACTTTGCAAACTGTCTAAACTGCAAACTCTCTGAACTTTAACTTGATTCAGAAAGAGGAATAATTTCTAAGGGTCGTAGCTAGAGAAACAAAATTAAATAAAACTCTTTATTCTACTATTTCATAAGAACATGTGGTCTGTCATGAGGAATTATTCTTGCTCTGCTAAAGGCATTGAAGGTAACTGAAAATAGCATCCCTGCCCAAGCTAGAGTATGTAAATGGAGGTAAATCACAATAATATTGGGACACTTGCATTCAAATTGTTCATGTCAACATAGTATGTAAAATGGTTTTAAAGCAAACAGATAGATAGGGTTGTGACCCATTGCTCAGGGCTACATACAGCAGTCTGTTACGAGGAGGGAAGGGGGAGAATAGGAACTATTTATCTAATCCATCCTAGTGTCACTAGCACGAAACTGGGGGTTTTTTTGCTATTTTTTCTAGGATTTTAATCAATTCACGTATTTTTTCTGACATAATTTAGTGTAAAAGTAATTATACAGAACATTAAACACATTTTTTGATATGCATTTATTACAGAATAAGTAAGTGCCATGACTTTAAGTGTGGTAGGGTGTTTTTGTCCTGATTAGCACATACACAAGGTCAGTATATACTGGGTTTGTTTTCATCAAGTTCTCTATCTGTAGGAGTGAGGAATTTTATACAAAAGTCTCTATCTTCAGTCTTTGATCTTTCTTTATCTTTGCTTACAGGCTACCCAAGTTGTACCTTTGTGAATTCTGTCTAAAGTATATGAAAAGCAGAACTATTCTCCAACAGCATATGAAAAAATGTGGCTGGTTTCATCCTCCAGCCAATGAAATTTACAGAAAAAACAGTATTTCAGTCTTTGAGGTAAGTTAGAAAACTGAGCCACTCACTTTTATGTATAAAACAGGGTCTTTAGCACCCAATCATGTGATAAGATCTCACAGTATCCCCAGGTGGGTGCCGGCTCACGTTCAGCCGGCTGTCAACCAGCACCCCCAGGTCCTTTTCTACCAGACAGCTTTCCAGCCACTCTTCCCCAAGCCTGTAGTGTTGCATGGGGTTGTTGTGACTGAAGTGCAGGACCCGGCATTTGGCCTTGTTAAACCTCATACAATTGGCCTCAGCCCATCGATCCGGCCTGTCCAGGTCCTTCTGCAGAGTAGTCTGTAGACTCAGCTACTATGATGTCTAACTTGTAATACTGCAGTCAAATAAGACCTAACAGGTCACATGTTTGCAGCAGGATAGCATACGTTTCATAGCCCTAAAGATCCTCATTCTTGAAGCATTCAGTTGCTAAGAGTGAAGAACTACAAGCAAGCAGTGGGAGCTGACCTCATGTATAGATTATTCATCCATAAAACATGTGAGAAGTTGTAAAAATGCGTTTTCATTTTAGGAAAATGAATTTTAAGTTCTCTCTTAAGCTAATGAATGTAACAGTGACTTGGCTGCAGCCTTTATGCTGTGGAAGTTTAAGTCCTTCGAGATGCTACCTGTGACAGAGGAGTCTTCCTTCATGTTAGACATTAAACGTACAGGGATACCCAGATGAAGCATGTCCTTGCATGAGAGCAAATGGAGTGACAAAACGTTTCCTCATTTTTGTAAGGTTGATGGCAATGTCAGCACTATCTACTGCCAGAATTTGTGCTTGTTAGCCAAACTCTTCCTGGACCATAAGACTCTCTATTACGATGTGGAGCCATTTCTTTTCTACGTGCTGACACAGAATGATGTCAAGGGCTGTCACCTTGTTGGCTACTTTTCCAAGGCAAGTATTTGAGTACTTCAGATTTGGAACTGCATTTGCGATGGTGAGAAATGCTGCTTCAGAGTCTTTAAATTGTTGTAATTTAGGCCCTTGCATTTTATATAATACATTATGTAATATAGGTATAGACATCTATTGCAACCAGATTTTATTTATGTTACATTCAGAGACCACCAACCACACCAACTAATAAAACCAAGTTTCCTCATAATGTGGAATAGCATATTTTCTCTAAGGAATTTGTACTGCAGCTAGTAGCTAAAAAAACCCCAACTCTTCAAATGACTTCCTACTCTTGGTGGTGATGGGTAGTACTGTGTGTGAGATAAATATTGTTACTAAGTAGTTCTATCTCATCTTTCCTTCTGTAAATACATTGTTTTCCAAAAAAGTTTGGCAATTTTGCACCTCATTTGAAACCTTTTATTTTTTTGACGAAACAGGGCCAAGATTTCAGATAGGCCTTTTCTTAAGATTTTTATCTGTAATTGTTTTATTTATTTTTAAATAGCTTTAATTGAAGCTTTTCCTTTCAGTCTTCAGAAGAGCAGATTTGAGATTGGATTTTAGTATGTTATGGTTATAACGTTTAAAGATTCACTGGAATACTGCAATCTTTTCCAGTGAATTTAGCTGCCTTCATATTTATGCTTTGAACTTTTATCTGCTATGCAGCCCATGTTCTTTGTTTTATCTAAGCAGAAGCTGGTAGTTATGTCAAGGTTTCGTTCTTTTTGTTTTTCTGAACTGAAATGATGGTAATAGAGTTTTAACATTATTCTCTCTTTTTGAAGTCTTTCCTTGGCTCATGTACGTTGTTGTTCCTAAGAAACTTTGACTGTGGCTTTCTATCTCAGTTTCTGCTATAGAAGTAATTAGGGACTTGTATAGAACAACTACTATTTCTAACTGGTCTTTTTTTTTTTTTTTTTTTTAAAATTTGCTGCTTTTTCCCCCAACAGGAAAAACACTGCCAACAGAAGTACAATGTTTCCTGTATAATGATTCTTCCACAATACCAGCGTAAGGGCTATGGCAGGTTCCTAATTGACTTCAGTAAGGAACTTTTTCTTCACTTTTTTTAGTCTTTGTCTTTTCACGTTTTACAGAAAGGCTTAACTGTGGAAGAGGATATTTTTCCAATTAAAAAACATCTCGGGACAAAGGATTCTAAAGCTCACAAAATCATCTGAACTTCACAATTTATTCTTATTGTTGGAAGGCTTCAATTCTAAAGACAAATTGATCATTTTTCCCCTAATTCGTATGTTTCCTGTGTAAGCAACTTACAGTGGAAGCTATAGGCATGTGTCAGCATAGTGTTTTTAGCAGAAGCTTACCTTGTGCATGTAGTTCTTTCTACAGAAAGCCAACCCTAAAACTGCATGGTCTGTTGAAATCTTCAGCAGCTTGATTAAGTGAATGAGTGTCTTAAGGAAAAGGTAGTCATAGTTACGTTTTAATTTAGCTTTGAGAGCAACAAAACCAAACATACTTAGGCTCTGAATACTCAAACAGTTCGCAGATTCATACATGGATCTCAGCAAGTTCATGGGGAAACTTGCCACTGTAACCATATGTCTTATTATGCCGAGTGCAACCTAATATAGCCCTCCCTGTGGACTAATTCTGGAGTTAATGTCCAGAAGAAAAGCCCTACTGGTATAATTATATTAGAATTACTTTGCTGGTAAATATCCTTGTGTAGATAAGTAGTTGTTCTCCTGAAAATACTGGTGAAACAAAGGATCTCAATGATGTGTCTTGAGAAATCAACAAATGTGGGCTATATTAGAGCAGCAGTGAGAAGACACATTTGTCAGAGGGTTCCCCCCTCCCCCCTTTGTCATACTGGGGAGGGTATAACCTCTCGGACTTTATTGGACCTGTGCAGTGTATCACAGTCTTAAATTAATTAAGTCTCTGCAGATAGAGCTTGGTACTCTCCAGTATTGCCCTGAATTTTGACAGTAGAGAATTTTCAAGAAAATTGTTTGCCATATTAGTTTTAAATGGCTAAAATATGTTTTCCCTCTGTCATCTTCAAAATTGCTATTGCAATTGGAAGATATTCGGCAGACTGTTTGTGTACTTCAGGCTTAGTATAGTTTCTAGGTGGGCAACTGCCGCCATCTCGTGGCATTGCCCATAGCCAATGTCTGATGGCAATGTGGTTTAGAAATCTCATCATCATTGAATAACAGGAGTTTAAACAAACAACAAAAAAGAATCGGCCAGACCACTCAGTGTTTCCTTCAAAATTATAATCTATATCCTGTAGGCAGCATTCAGCTACTTTCTGGAAAAATGCCTTTGTAGAAGTTGGGGTGGAAACAGAAGCTATATATGCTAATTTTCTGAATTTTTTTTCTGGTATATCTTTAGGCTATTTGCTTTCAAAGCGTGAGGGTCAAGCAGGATCACCAGAGAAACCCCTGTCAGACCTGGGGCGTCTCTCATATATGGCTTATTGGAAAAGTGTAATATTGGAGTGCCTTTATCATCAACGTGACAAGCAATTAAGCATTAAGAAATTGAGTAAGCTGACTGGAATCTGCCCTCAAGATATCACTTCCACTCTACATCACCTACGAATGCTTGACTTCCGTAGCGATCAGTGAGTACAGGAGTCCTGTTGTATTTCCAAATAGCTTCAGATGTATTTGAATGAAATTTAATGGTGTTTGGAGACAAGTCACATCTAATAAGCTTGATTTTATTTAAGACTTAAGTGTCCACTAACATACTCGCAAAACAGAGCAAAGAACAGCAACTTCCCTTCTCTAGAGGGAAATCTGTTCCTTTTTCCAGTCACTGAGCAAGACAGTTGTTTCCCCCCTTTTCTCTGTACCTCAAAGATGCCATTAACTGTGTGGATTAACATGGGATACTTGAACAGTGGGATAGATCACTGGGAGAAATGAGGTGTGTGGATATAGAATAGAGGTAGTCTGCTTGCCCAGCTGAGTGTACAAGTCAAGTGAAGTACTGGGAATTATTCTTGATTCAGACCATAGCAGTTTTGGGAGTGGGATTGTATTCTTATTTGGAAAACTTGAAGTTATTTGAGAACAGTTTTATGTCCTCATTTCACAGTACACTTTAATCAGTGATATTACTCCCAGCCCCCTGAATAAAATGCACTCTGGTAGTGGGACTGTAACTTTTTAAAGCAGTCTTTTTATTACCATTCAGTATCTTTTACCTCATGTTGCCTGTTCCCCAAATGTCATACCCCTTGTCCATTTAACACATAATAAAAGTGATACTCCGCAGCTGAATGTTACCTATGGAAGGATAATGGCTTCACCATTAACAAGAAGTGGCAAGAATTTAACAACATTTTCTCAGTTTTAAGATGCTTTCTCTGGTTGTCTGACAGTACTGCAAATTGTACAATTTTAATGAGCTTTCTGTCCTCTCTGAAGTTATTCATGGCAGCACTGATTGAGAGTACAGAGGTTTTTCTGTAATATCTTATATCTGTTTCACATGACAACATGTACAGTATGTATCCTGTTGTTGATCAGCGTATTATTACTGTTTAGATTTGTGATCATTCGTCGGGAGAAACTTATTCAGGAACATATGGCAAAGCTTAGAACTAATGTCCGACCTATAGATGTGGATGCAGAGTGTCTGCGTTGGACACCTGTTATAGTTTCCAACTCAGTTGTCTCTGAAGATGAAGAGGAGGAGGCAGAGGATGGGGAAAACGAAGAGCAACAACAGCAGAAAGAAAAGGATCCAGAGACCAGTGTAAGAGTGAATCTGTTACTTCTGTGTGGCATATAGTTTACACTCGGTGCTTTTGCAGGCAATGCTAACAAGATTTCAAATGCCAAGCTTGGGCATTTCGCATAATCGTAAAAAGCAATGCAGTCATGATTAGTTTATGTATCTTTATAGTTTCAGATTAGAAACTAAAAATAGGGAAAACATTGAGGCATAATGTAGAGAAAGGTTAAAGGCTATCTCTGAAACGAGTAAAAAGGCTCTGTCTACCCTTAATGATTTTGGGGGGTAGGGGGGCAGTATTAAAAAAAAAAAAAAAAAAAAAACAAAAAAACCAAAAAACAAACCACCAAAAACAAACAACCTGCCTCCCACTCTCAAGCAACCTGGTCTCTCATCAAATTATTGAAATGGATTTAGGTTTGAAGGACCCACTATTTCTGTAAGTGACAAATAGCATAAATGGAAATGAATCAACAAAAACTTTTAACATATTTCATGAAAGGTTTTTGCTGTGTACTTTTGCAAAACCACTAATAGCTTTAGAATTACTTCCCACAGAGCAGTGAAGGTTTCTGAAATCTAGGCTGCTGTCTTTGAAGGGTTGCACTCTCACATCAGGTGATGAGCACTGACTAGAATACTAGGAGGCAAATTATGCGCTGTTACTGTATTTACATTAAACTAATTGTACATTTTAATGGAAAAACAGCTTCAACTCTGTCTCACTTTTTTCTTGAAAATTACACAAATACTGCGTTTGAACATAGCAAGATGATGTTTGCATTCCAGCAGGCCCCTGGATGGCGGCTGCTGCTGACTGAAGTCACTTGTCAGGAAGCTAATTGAGGTGTATTATCACCTGGGAGGAAAGGAGTAGCAGTTAGCACTATTAGAATCTCGTAAAGGTCAATTCTTTCGTTATTCTTAGATTCTTAAAAGTCATTCTTGTTAAACTTTTCTGAATTCCTGCTCAAAAGCTTTTATGGAATCGAATTCAGGATAGACATGCATGCTTAAATAGGAAGTCTGAAATCTATTTGTTTTTATTTGAATCAGATGGTAAAATCTGTGTCATGGGAGAAGAAAGAGCAAGAGCCTTACTCACCTACAGAGAGTGAAAAAAAGCCAGACATTGTTGCTCCAGCCAATTCTGCACGGCCAAACAAGCACATTTTTCCCCTGGATAGTCTACCTGCAAACAGTCAGCCATCACGAAGAGGTCGATGGAACCGCAAGGGCAAAAAACTTCGGGAACCCTTTTGTGAGAAGGAGCCAATATTGCCCATTGAGGACAAAACAGCAGTTCCCAGTGGGCGATGCAGTGAATGTGAGGAGAAATCAGCAGCCTCACGAGGCCGGTGCAGTGACTGTGAGGAGAAGTCGGCGGCCTTGCAAGGAAGATGCGGTGAATGTGAGGAGAAGTCTCCAGCCCCAAGAGGCCGGTATGCTGAAGATGAGGAAAAATCTGCAGTTTCCCAGGGACAGTATGGCAAAGGTGAAAAATCTGCAATTCCCCGTCGGCGGTACAGCGAAGGTATGGAAAGGTGGAGAGGGCAGTTGAAAAAGAACGTGGAGCCACTGAAGTGTAGATTCCCGGAGGACTGCGACAGATTACCCCGCCGCTACAGTGATAGTGATAGGGCAATTCTGAGGTGTTTTAGTGAGAGTAGTGAAGAGGAAGATGATGAGCCTGTGAGTCCTCGATCAAGCTCTCCACCTGTTCTCACCAAGCCAACATTAAAACGAAAGGTGTGTCCCTTACTTCTTGTTGTCTATGACTATATCATGCAGTCTATTTTGTCAGTATGTTGGTGCTTTCTGAAGGATTGTGCAACTCATGAGGTATGTATTAAGTGTACAGGTAGCATCTGCTCAGTGTTCCAGAACTGTCTGGAGGGTGCTTTCTGCTGCCTTTTTGTAGTGGTGGTTTTTGTTGAATCAGAGGAAAGGGTTGGTTTTTTCTTTAATTCTAACTTCTGCCTTGTGATTTTGATTTTTCCTCCTTGGTTATTAAAGTTTTATTCAGTCACGCAAAATAGAAACGGATATAGTCCTACTTTTAAAAGAAGCTTGCAAAACACAAATGCTATCTAAACAACTAAAATCACAGCATAAAGTCTTTGGAATGATTTACCATGGAGATGTGAATTCTATCCACGTGACCAAGAAAATCCTCTCTTTGTGGGATGCTGCACTAAAAAGTTCTCTTCTATATCATCTTTGCAGCTTATTCTAAGCTATTCACATCTATGTTGTAGTGTCTCTGAACTTTCAGCTGTTATGGATGGGCTGTTAGCTTCAGCTGTTTAAATGGTTTATACTATTACACAATAGTCAATCTAGCAATCTGTATGGAAGTTGGTCATCTTGCATTGTATTTGACAACTGTCTAACTGAAGGCAGGTGCCGGTCAGTATTTCTAGTGAAGTCTGGATTCCGGAAGGGAGCCCTCTGATCCTGCTTAGACTGTTGAACTCTGCTGTTCATGTTTTCTATTTATCAGTGTTTTACTTCTACTGGACATGATAAATTGTATTCTCTTCTCCCACCTTCCACTTTCAGAAACTTTTGGAAGAGGCGAGTCCGCAAGCGTAAGCACCACAATAGCAGTGTTGTCACTGAAACAATCTCGGAGACGACAGAAGTGCTGGATGAACCATTTGAGGACTCAGACTCTGAACGACCAATGCCCCGATTAGAGCCTACATTCGAGATTGAGGAGGAGGAGGAGGAGGAGGAGGAGGACGAAGAGGAGGAGAATGAGCTTTTGCCCAGTGGATACTTTCGGCACTTAGCCCCACCAGACACACTCAGGCATAGACCCTCTTCTAAGAGGAAGTCCAAAGATGAGGAGGAGTCTGATGACACTAATGGTATGTTTGGTGGTATGCTGTTGAAAGTTTGATATAGATAGTGTGTCAGCAAGTGTTAGATGATGCTAGCTCATGATGGAACAAGTTGCTTACCTTACCTTGTAACTTCTAGGCAAAATGTAAGGTTAGGCATAAATTACCAGTCAACCCAGCCTCAAACATTCCCAAGTCTTATGAAAATGTGGTGCATGCTTTTAACTATCTTATTAGCAATGACCTGACCGCAGGGTATCCTTTTGATTCAGCTTTCCTAGTGGAATTGGTATCTGTGATTGTGGAAGAACCTATGCAGCAGGGTCACTTACAGAAATAAAACAGAAATGAATTGGAGAGCCCTCAGTTTTCCGTAACAAAGAGAAATAATAAATTATATCTTTTGAGATCCTGTTCTTCATCACATTGCATGTCCTACCTCTCAGCTTCTCATATCTCCTTAAAGTTCTCTGAACCGTCAGTTCATAAAATAAAATTATTTGGTTCGATCCGGTTACTTAGAGTGCACTGACAATTCAAAAGAAGCATCTATCATTCAGATGCTCCATTAGTAATCTTCATTATGGCTGTTATGTGTTCTGTTCTCTTGATAGTGCAAGGCAGTCAGCAAAATAAAAACAAAAGAACTGTGTGAAAGAGAAGTATGGTGCCATTATCCCACAGTAAAAAAATCATTACGGGAACAAACTCATTAATTTATGGCTTTCAACTAGCCTTCGGTTAGCGAGGAGAATTTTTCTTTAAAAGTACTTAAATTCTGAAAGCATCAATATGATTATAGCCATGTATACTATCCATTTAGCATCAGTTACTCTTAAATCCTTATAGCAGCATATAACTATGCAAATTTAGTGCAAACACATGTTGATCCAGCATTAAGTTTGCTTAGTGAGAATATATGCACAGTCAGCTTATACCATTGTTTTTTTAATTCTATTGTGATCAGGTTACTCATGAAATAAATTTTTATGGTACTCCAGCACCATTAATAAGACTATAGAGTTGGGAGAAGATCTGTTAGATAAGTGTTTTTTTTCTCTTCCGAATGTTTTCTGGTGGAGGTGCAGATCCCTTTAGAGATTCCACACACATATATTGCTTTATAAAATATATCAGTGATTTTTAAACCATCTTTTGTGACTACAAATAGTCCTTAGAGTGCCCACGGATCAAAAATGGTATTTGGAAAGCCCCTGTTTTAACTCTCACTCGTTATATACTACAATGATAAATTTATTGCTCACCTACTTTATAAATACTTTAGTTCCTTACTCTCCACTTGTACTTTAGTGCTTTCTGTTCCCTTATGTCACTTCTGTTGCTTTTTTTTCTGAACTTCTGCAAATTTGTCAGAACCTCGGAAGTAATGAAGTAGTAAGCATACTATTTTAGGGTATTGCTGCTCCTGACATCAGTGCACCTGAATGCAGGTGCCTTTGCATATACATAGTAAAACTGTAATGATCTTAGAGGAAAATACAATGTGCTTTCAATTACCTAAACATGTTAGCCCACAGGGATAATCAATCATCATAAACAGCTGGCTTTTTTGATAAAAAATTAAGCTGGGTGGAGGGGAACAGCACTGCCTTATGACAATTCAGAAATATAGTATTGCGGTCATTAATACTTGGTTCAGATTTAGACTATTCTAATCATAACTATGAGTTAGGAATGCGTATAGGAAGCTTAGATTTTTTGGAAGTTTTCCCATCAGAAACCTGCTTGTAATTTTTTTTTTTTTTTTTTTTTTAATATTTCTGAGTAGGGGTGGTTTGCGTTAGATTTTTCCCCTGAGAACTTAATCTGTAGCTGAGGCAATGCATTGAAAGTGTTTTATGATTTCCCTGAAATGTAACATTGCAGTCTCTTAAATTTCGTGTCTGATGAGAATTTGAATTGGTTCTCATTGCTGTCAGGGCTACAGTGAGAATGGATATTGTGGTGTGGTGATTTGAGGCCAGTATTTAATAAGGGTTAGGCATTCTGGAAGACAGAGTGTGTTCTGTGGTGTAGAAAACAAATAAAGCTTGTCTCTCTATATTCTACCAATTCTGTGCAACTTGATTAGTGTTGCGTGGGGGAAGATGGAGCTCTGTAATAGGCTGGGCTGTATTATTTTGCTTTTCCTAGTTGTATCTGTAAGTTTTACTGTGAATGTGAATACTGTAAGGATCTTCTGTTCAAGCTTGTGTGGGCACTGACGTTTAACGAAGTGCAACTGAATGAGCACGTACATATGTTTCTCAGTATCCTAAAAAATGATGCATGTGAAATCTTGAGTGGTCATCAGATGCATATTCTTTTGCGAAGACGGTGTCAAGTGCATATGGTAAAAATCATGGAATCACGGTCCCTTGAGACTGGAAAGGACCTCTGGAGGTCATCTTGTCCAGCTCCGCTGCTTAAGCAAGGCCACCAAGAGCCAGTTGCTCGGGACCGTGTCCTGACAGCTTTTGAATATCTCCAAGGAGGGAGACTCCACAACCTTTCTGGGCAGCCTGTTCCAATGCTCAGTCACAGTAAAGAAGTGTTTCCTGATGCTCAGATGGAACCTCCTGTGTTTCAGTTTGTGCCCATTGCTTCTGGTCCTGGCCCGGGGCACCACTGAAAAGAGCCTGGCTCCATCTTCTTTACGCCCTCCCTTAAGATACTTGTACACATTCATAAGACCCTCCCTGAGCCTTCTATTCTCTAATCCCAGCTCTCTCAGCCTTTCCTCATCAGAGAGATGCTCCAGTCTCTTAGGAATCTTAGTGGCCCTTTGCTGGGCTCTCTCCAGTAGCTCCATGTCTGTTTTGTCCTGGGGAACCCAGACTGGACACCTTTTAATATTACATTATTATAAGGGGAGCCTGCCATCATAAGATAATTTACTTTTTTTTTTTAATTCTTAAAAATATTAAATCCATGACAGTACAGATAAAAGGAAAGGGTCTTTACCTAAGAGGTGGTAAATCTAATCTTCTGTAGTAGATAGGAAATGTGAAAGAAGGGGAAGAGAAATAGTGAATTTTTAAATTTTTTTTTTTTTAAAGAGGTGGATTTTTTTTTTTGAAGGGCTTAAGTGTTAATGCTTTAACAAATACTATGAAAGTAGTGTTTCCTTATTCCTGCCCAATGATATGCTGACTGTGACAGATCCTTTCTTTCCTTCATTCACATTCCAAATATTTCTTTTACGGATGACTTCAAGGAGTTGTTGAATTTTGAATTCAATATTTGTTTTAAATTCATTTTTTAATACCCAGAATTTTTTCAGAATGCTTCTCACTGGAGATATTTAGAGTAAATGCCTGTGTGAGCAAAGGGCAAGAGTAACTTAGCTGACCTGTGATTAGGTTTTAAGAAGCATTTGTGAACTACTAGGAACACATTATTTAGTTTTACCTTCATTGCATAACTGTGGACTTAAAACAGCTCTTCTTGGGAAATTCATAGCGTGGAATCAATAACATTTTTTAAGATGGTAGAAAGGGCAGAAATGTGAATAAATGTACTCTGAATATTGGGGGGAAATTGAACTTATATCTATATAGTGGGATGACCAGCCTAATTAGAGGCCCATCAGTGTGACATTCGTCCGGATTTAAATAGTAGGATGACTGGCGTATTACTTCATAGAAAGTCCAGGGAGGGTTATTTGCTCAATACCAATGAACACTGGTATGTGAAAAATGTATTTGTCAGACAATGGTATATTTTTACAAGACTACAGCTTGGTTAATAAGAGTAATTGCTGTTATCTACTTAGTGTTTTGAGAGATATTTGACTTAATCAAAACCATTTGCTTAAGCTGAAATGTTACAGAATCAAGCTAATACATATTAAATAAATCAAGCTGCAAACAGGGAGTAATTAAGCAGCTTTGTTATTAATGGGGTGCAAGGCAGTTGGACTAGATGGTCGTTGTAGGTTCCATCCAACAGAACTATTCTGTTCTATTCTAAGGGAGATTGGTCTGGGTTATGTGTCTGTCTGTACTGCTATTTTATGGATAAATTAAAAAATAATGTAGCAGCTGACAGAAAAAGAAGGGATTTGGTAAATGAAGTGAAGGGCAATTCACTGACAAAGTTTATGAGAGAGTATTTGAAGGTCATGTCCAGTATTAGCATGGTTTTCTAGCTCAAAGCCAAAGAGATTCAGATGATCCTTAAATATATGAACAGGGGAATCTCACGTGGAGTAGAGACATTCTGTCATCTCTTTATTTAGCTTTGGTGAAACTACTACAACCATCTTTACTCAATTATTCACACTTGATAAGAGTATTGATAAAACTGGAATAGTTCAAAGAACAGTTGTGGGCTGATTAAGACACTAGAACAAATGTTCTGTAATGATAGATTCAAAGAAAGCAGAGGCAAAAGAGTGATAAATTTACAAATTACTTAGGTGAGAACTGTTACTTGGTAAGAGAGATTTTCTGCCTAGCAGATAAAAAGAAAACTAATACAAAAGCAGATTAAGTAAATTCAGTGTCTGAAGACAGAAACTCAGATGGTAAAGTGTGAATATCAACTAGTGTCAATGAATAACTGTGGCAGTAGTTTACCAAGAGTTGTGTAAAATGTCACTGACTATCCTAATTGACAGGTTCAAAACAAAATTAATTCAGGGAATGCCTTACAGTATTCTGTAAGTTCTCAGTAAATGATGACATTCCTTTCTGGCTGTATAAGCTCTGAACCTATTCTAGTGTTTAGAAAGTCACTGAAATGCAAAACTTCCTTCATCAAATAAAAGTCAGATGAGAGAGGAATTCAGCCTCCTTTTAATGATTTCTCAGATTTAAAAAAAAAAAAAAAAATCTAGCCAAATTCAGTCATCTGTGTATTTCTGTTGGCATTTAAAAGCATAAGCCGTGAAAAAAGTGGAAATATTTCCTTTCTTCAGCAGATGCACAAAATACAGATCTAAATGGAAACATGTTTTTATTGCAACTTCAAACTTCATGTGTTCCCCTACACTGGAACATTTTCATTTGTGAACATATTGTATAAATAAAATTTTAAAGGGTGTTGAGTCTTTCCAGGACTTTATCGTATAGCCTAGTGTTTAATCTGAATTGTGTATGAAAGGCTCAGGGCTTTGACCATGCAAAATCTTGAAAGCATTGTGTTCTTTGAAAATGTAATGTGCAATGTGATTGCTAATGAGCAGATCCTTGATCCTTCTTGTTACCCTTCACAATAAATCTCTAAGCTAGTACTAATACATAAAGTTGATAAACATGATGGGAATGCTTGGGAAAGCTTCTGTGAATGCTCATGTCAAACAAAAATGTTTGAACAGTGTCTTTCAATTTGTGTTTTCAGGTAACCCAACTCTGAAACCATTATCTGTGCTGAGAAAATGTGAAGGAAAGGATTCTTTACTTGAACCAGATACTTCTACACCCATGAAAAAGAAGAAGGGATGGCCAAAAGGGAAAAGCCGAAAACCAGTCCACTGGAAGAAAAGACCTGGTCGAAAACCAGGTTTTAAACTGAACCGGGAAAAAGTGCCACCATCAGTTCAGGATGATGGAGTTGATGCAGTGGTAGCTAATTCAAAACCTGGGCGTAAGCCCAAAATTTCAGATAAAGAAGAAAGTGTTGAGCAGAAAGAAGAGCTGCCTCTTATTGAGGAAAGGAAAGAGGAAGATGTGAATATGGAAGCAGAAGAGGTAGGAGAGGGAGAAGAGGAAGATATAGCGAGCAGTGAAGTAAGACCAGTTTCTCCTGTGGACAGCAACAGCAGTCCAGTGCCAGAAGTAAAAGAGCCTGAGATAGAAGAGGAGGTAGAGGAGAAGCCACGGGTTTTAGAAGAGCAAAGGCAATCAGAAGAAGAACAGCAAGAACTAGATGAACCTGAGCATGACCATGAGGAGGAAGAGGAAGTTGCAGTAGTAACAAATCAAAATGAAGATCATGACGCTGACGACGAAGATGATGGTCATCTGGAGTCTGTGAAGAAAAAAGAATTGGAAGAGCAGCCTGTTAGAGAAGGGGTGAAGGAGGAGCCTCAGGTGCAAGAATGTTTTTTAGAAACAAGCATACCAAGCAGTAGGGAAGATGCAAAAGAAAAAGATGAAGCAGAGGCAGATTCTGAGGAAGAGCAGGCTTCCAATGAGACATCGGTGGGCTCAGAGCACGTCCCTGGGTCTGAAGATGATCATGAAGAAGAGCAAAGCAATAAAGAAGGGTTAATTGAATTAAAGGAAGAGGAAGAGATTCCTCATAGTGAACTAGATCTTGAAACTGTTCAAGCAGTCCAGTCCTTGACACAGGAGGAAAGCAATGAGCATGATGTAGCTTACCAGGACTGTGAAGAAACTCTTGCAGCTTGTCAGACTTTGCAGAGTTACACCCAGACTGAGGAGGATCCTCAGATATCAATGGTTGAAGATTGCCAGGCCTCAGAACACAACAGTCCAATATCCTCTGTTCAGTCCCACCCCAGCCAGTCTGTACGTTCTGTCAGCAGCCCAAATGTGCCTGCTCTGGAGAGCAGTTACACCCAGATAAGTCCTGAACAAGGATCCCTGTCCGCACCCTCTATGCAGAACATGGAGACCAGCCCCATGATGGATGTGCCTTCAGTATCGGACCACTCTCAGCAGGTGGTGGATAGTGGCTTCAGTGACCTTGGCAGCATTGAGAGCACTACAGAGAATTATGAAAACCCCAGCAGCTATGACTCCACTATGGGAGGCAGCATTTGTGGAAATAACTCTTCCCAGAGCAGCTGTTCATATGGAGGACTGTCCTCTTCTAGCAGCCTCACTCAGAATAGTTGTGTTGTTACTCAGCAAATGGCAAACATTGGCAGCAGCTGCAGCATGATGCAGCAAAACACTGTCCAGCCTGCAGCAAACTGCAATATCAAGTCACCTCAGAGCTGTGTAGTAGAAAGGCCTCCAAGTAACCAGCAACCAACAACGCAGCCACCACAGCAACAGCCTCAGTCACAGCAGCCACAGCCCCCACCTCCACCCCAGCAGCAACCTCCATTGTCTCAGTGTAGCATGAACAACAGCTTCACCCCAGCACCTATGATCATGGAAATACCCGAATCAGGAAGCACTGGTAACATAAGTATCTATGAGAGGATTCCTGGAGATTTTGGTGCTGGGAGCTATTCACAACCATCAGCCACATTCAGTTTAGCCAAGTTGCAGCAGCTGACAAACACCATTATGGACCCTCATGCCATGCCTTATAGCCATTCTCCTGCTGTGACTTCCTATGCAACCAGCGTTTCTCTGTCCAACACAGGATTGGCTCAGCTAGCTCCCTCTCATCCGTTAGCAGGCACACCACAAGCACAAGCCACTATGACACCCCCACCAAACCTGGCGTCCACCACCATGAACCTCACGTCACCTCTGCTTCAGTGTAATATGTCTGCTACCAATATTGGTATTCCACATACACAGAGGTTGCAGGGGCAAATGCCAGTCAAAGGGCATATTTCCATTCGCTCTAAATCAGCACCACTGCCCTCTGCAACTGCACACCAGCAGCAGCTCTATGGCCGCAGCCCACCCGCAGTTGCCATGCAGGCTGGTCCTCGTACGTTAGCTGTTCAACGGGGTATGAACATGGGAGTCAACCTAATGCCAACCACCCCTTACAATGTTAATTCCATGAATATGAACACCCTGAATGCCATGAACAGCTACAGAATGACACAGCCTATGATGAACAGCAGTTACCATAGTAACCCTGCCTACATGAACCAGACAGCACAGTATCCTATGCAGATGCAGATGGGAATGATGGGGAGCCAGGCCTATACCCAGCAGCCTATGCAGCCAAATCCTCATGGAAACATGATGTACACTGGCCCCTCCCATCACAGCTACATGAATGCTGCTGGGGTGCCCAAGCAGTCTCTCAATGGACCATACATGAGAAGATGAGCAAGATGAACTTGCATCCTAAAAACTGAAATATATATAAATAAAGGAACCTTTTATACTGACGAACCAGAGAAAATGGACCTTTTTCCAGTTAAAACATTGCTGTAGATTTAGAGGGATTTTCTTTGGTTTATTTTATTTTTTAGGAAGCCTGGTCTTTATTTTTTGGATTTTTTTTTTTTGTTTTGCTTTTTTGTTTTCTTCACAATCCTGAAACATTTTACAGCTAAAATCATTTACAGATGTTTTTTAGAGGGGAAAACATGCACAAAATCTTTTCATAATTTAAAAAGAGCCTTACTTTGCTGACAATGTGGACAGAATATGTGTAACAGTGGAATCATCTTTCTAAATTTTTTTTCCAAATGTATGTCCTTCTCCCCCCCGTGCCCCTCTGTATGCAGTTTCTAGTGCTGCAGTCATGTAAAATGTTTGACATCTTGAAGAATAACAACCCTTCTCTCTAAACCCCACCTAGCATTTCCTACTTCAAGCAGGAGGCACTTATTGGGAGACTTGGAAGGGGACACAGAGGATAAATGAAGCTCTTTATTTCTGCAAGTCAGGAAAAATTTTTAATCTTTAATTTTCCCTGACACCCTCAGTAAAATTTGGAGTTACGTGTAAACGATAAACTATTCACATTGGTGTTTTTGTAGATGAGTTGATTGAAATTGTATGTTTCATGCTGAAAATATAATGTAATCTTAAAATGATCCCATTCACCACCCAGACATGCATGTGCACAGACATGTGCATGCATGCACACATGTTTTTCACTCTGAACTACTGGAAACATCTCAAGAGAGAACTGTTTATATCCCTTACGTAGTCATGAGGAGGATAGGATGGTTATTGGTCTATTAGGACAAGAAAATGGTTGCAGGCTCTTCTGGTGAACTGCAAGTCAGCCACAACTCTGAGATTCCAAACTCTGCTTTAGTATGTACTTCAAAATGCTGAGGGTCTTGGTTCTGAGCCTTTGAGTCGGGCTGAGCTCAAAAGCAGCTGTTTCCAGTGGTCTGCCTCTTAATCTCTTTACTTAGGTAATCTTGGAAGATAAAGTGTATGTTTTAAGTGACCTGATGAGAACCCTGTGGTGTCCTTGTCACTCTTCCATTCCTGGTATGGGGTAGCAAGTTGCTGAATGTGCCGCTCTCTGGGGCAGTCAGTGATGTGTTCCCCAATTCTCCCGCTATGTTTGAGACCCATTTTATAGGAATAGCCACACTTTTGATCTAGTGTGGGAAAAGAAGGGAATCGGCCTGTTCTGTAGGAGTGAAACAGTCCAAACACCATAGTAGGATGCAGGCAGCAGGATTTTGCTGTTTATTACTGCATAATCCAATTCACATTCTTTTTGGCTATGCTGCTGGCATGTCACCCAATACAAAAAGGGACACCCTTTAATGTAAATTTCTTTTTTTATTGTATATGAAGTAGAAATACAGACACATTAATGAGACTAATTTCTTTTGTTTTTAAACCAAAAGAGTCTAAAAGAAAGTTGGGGTTTCTTCAGATGCACTAAAATGGACTTTCCTCCAATAACTGCTAACCATAAAAGGCAGAATTCAAAGGACTTCCACTTTTTATTTCTGTTTAGTTTTGAGCATGTACAAGGCTGTGTAGGACCCCATTTCTCTGTATATACTATTCCAGTTCCAAATAACCCATGTAGAAAGTGCACTGTGCTGCCCTCTCCTTCCTAGATCTTCAGCTGTGTCACTGCTTCCTGATGGCTGGGGGTGGGCTGGGTAGGGAGGTGGGTGGGGGTCTGAGACAGGAGGAGAAGCTGTTGAAATGAGGGCCATGAATTTAGTTTGTTTGCTGTTCTGTTTCATTTGGTTTTGTATGTTTTTTTTATCAATTGGGCAGCTCCCTTTTCCACAAGCCTTTGTGACTGTAGAACTATTGTAGAAAAAAAAAAATGTTCTTTTCTATATATAAAAAGAAATTATCCAACGCAGTAATATTGGTACCTACCATTTTTTCACTTCTGTTTAAAAAAAAAAAAAAAAAAAAAAAAAAATGTATTTTTAGCAAGATAACTTGGGTAATCTTCTAAAAGAAATTAAAAAAAAAAATCTCACTGTTAGTGACTTTGATGCCTTTTAAAAATAAGAGCTTTTTCATTTCATTCCATCTTTAAAATTTTTTATCTTTGTTGTAGAATATTAAAAACTATTTTAAGAAAGATAAAAATTCTCTTTAAAGAGATCTCTAGAGTGTGTGAATAGGAGCTCCAGATGCCTCTAAAAGCCGCATGTACAAATGAAGCTGAGTCTATTCCTGTCTGTTTATATTTGCTTTTCCTGTTTTGTAACCTCTTTGTACTTTGTTCATGGTGACTTGTAAGCTAAGGGGAAGGGGTGCCTAGATGCCTTTGTAATTCTCCATGTCATACGCTCCTGGCTGGATGGTCTCCCTTCCTCTCCTTGTATGTAATATCACTTTTTTTTCCCTTTCTAGCAAGTACTTTCAAAAGAACTCTGTACATTTTAACATAAAAAATAAATTATGTTGAGCCATTTTGGATGTCAGTTGTGCATGTGGATTTTTTTTTCTTCCATTTGAGCAGTGAACTCTGTCACTGATCCTTGGTCCTGGGAATATGATTCCCTGTTAGCCTTTTGATCTGGAAGAGAGGTGGTACTTGGAATTTACTTACGAGATCTTTGTCCATGTTAATTTTTATCTACAGCTTCTAATCAGGGAAAGATTAAAAATAAGAAGAAAACTCAAAAACTTGAAAGCTGCTCCAGAAATCATCACCTTTAAATTCTTCTCTGCAAGGGCTGCCCAAAGCCTAAGCAAAGTGTGTTAGCTGTTTTTTTGTCAGCTTCTGTTTGTACAATCCCTTGAGAGTTTTGGCTTGCGCACTTGAAAAATTGCAATATGTGTTTGAAGCTTCCCCCCCGGCCCCTTTCAATTGCTCTCTCATCTTTATAATGAGCACTTCAGATAGGAGAATTAGAAATTTTACCCAGCAAAGTTTACCCTGCAGCTGCAAGGCAGAATTGGATCAGTCTCAAGCTTCATGGTGCTGTCCCGCTTGTCCTGTCGCTGTGCAGAGTTCTCCTCTGCAAGCTCACAACTTTCGAAACGCTAGATGGAAGCCAAGTTCCAGCGAGTGTGTGATCATTGCAAAAGTTTCCCCATGATAAACGTTGTGGCAATAACCACTAGCTCAGCCTTCTTGGGCAATTCAGGAGCAGACTGCCCATTGTTTCTGGTGCCTAACCATCTGCAGGGTGCCAGCCCCGTGCAGCCTGGCAGGGGCTCCAGGGAGCGGAACGTGGGGAAGCGCGGCGAAGGGCCAAGTGGCGACAGGAACCTTCCAGAGGCTTTGCAGCAGATGTGCTGTCACAAATATGTCTTCAAGTAAGCAAACTGTGTTTGTGTGTCACAGTAAGTGAAAAGGACCTTGAGAGCTAGTAAAATTAAGTTTGACGCACTTTTCGTATCTCCAGTCCTTGCGAAGATAGAACATAAGTTTATGTAAGGTGAGGATGATGTTGCATCTTCCTTTAAGCTGGTCTATTTTTCATTGGAGTCATTATAGTTGTTTTATTGAGGCACCTGAATTTTCAGATCAAACATGTCAAGATATAGATAGAAGTTAATCGTACAGGGGCGCTCCTGTGTGATTCGTTCATTTATTCTCACAACAGCTTTTAGGTTATTCAAGCATGAGGGAGAGAGAGACAGGGTGACCTGTGATTAAGGTTTTCACTACTTTAATCACTTGTGAATTACAGTGAGTACATCAGCAGTATTACAGGTAAGAGTCATCAGGATGTCAGTAGATGTGCATCCTGTGCGTTTGCATGTATTTGTATTACTCTCCCATAGTCAGTGCTGGAGTTAAGACTGAATTAACCATTTTGTGCTAGAAAGCTGTGTTCAATTGCTCATAGCTTACTTTTAATTTTTTTAAATTGTTCATTAAAGGAAGCTTTGGCACTGTCCAGTAGCAAAGTGGTGGGTGCCACCCCAGTGTGCCATGTTTTTTCTATGCTTAAACAATCGTGGTTTGGGGTCTTTTGGGTTTTGCTTGTTATTTTCTGTATACACTGAATTTAGTAGATTTGATTTGACCATAAAAATGTGCTGGGCTTGAATTGTTATCTAACAACGATACTGTTGGAGTCAGCTTTTATTTATTACCAATTTTCAGAAACATCTCTTTAGGATACAATATGGGTTTTAAAAGTAAAATACCAATCGAGAACAGTTGCATGTCCTCCAGCAATTCAAAATGGCTTTGACTTCCAGAATTAATGTGCTGAATGATTAGACTAGAGTATAATTCTACTGCTTTAGATAACAGTAGAATTTGAAATTGTTATGGCAAATCACTTCCATGGAATAACAGCATACAGTTATGTTCTAGTAAAGTGCTTGTATCATAAACTGACGAGTAGGGCAATTCAAACTCATTATCTGATGACCCGACACCGAATTATGGTTACACATGCTGATATGAAATGCTTTGCAAATAATTGTTTGAGATCTTTGCAACACTTAATCACAAGCTGTCAAGCTAGGGGTGAGCAGGGCCAGTGCTAATAATAATTAAAATTAAACTTCTTGTACATTTCTCAGTTCTTAAGGTAGTTGAAACTATTTTAAGAAGAAAAAGCAAATGTCTAGATAGGAACAGAACGATTTCTAACAACTTTCTAGCTTTGTGGGACAAGGAACAAAGGTAAGTGTTTATGGAAATCTATGAACAAGATCATGGAAATGTGATTCCAGAGTTAATGAGCTGATAAACAGTAACTGCTACTTAAATGTTTATAAAAGGCCTTATTTGATCAAATAGGCTGCACTGTTAATAGCCTCTGCTTGTTGTTTTTTTAAAAAAAAAAAAAAAAAGAAAACCTGTTTGTGTGGGCTAACTTGATGACAACTACATTTAGGAGCCATGAACAAGGTGACCTCTTTTTTAGAATCTTGTCATACAAACTATCAAATCCTACTGTTAGAGAATGACTACATAGGGGAGGTTATTTATTGTTTTGTGGGTGGTTTTTTTCGTTTGAGCGAGAGAGTTGCCAAGCTAGAACAGGGTTGAAATCAGACTGTCTTGAAGTGCGAGGACCTTTAGTACCTTATAGCATGGTGTGGACAGCTGCTGCTGCAGGCTCTGCATTGCCACAGCCAGATACCATACTGTGGACATGGTGAGAGTTGTTCCATTCAGCACTGTGAGGTTTGCTCTAAATTAGTTGATATGTCGACCAAAATGTTTGTTACCAACTCCCAATATGCAGGGAAGAGTTTGAATGCAACCCAGAGCAACATGCACACTACTGCCTGGGAGACTAGTGTGATTTTGAAAGAGGCTAACTGAAAGGAGAATGGTCTTAAATGAGTTCTGAAAGCTCATCAGTGAGATAATTAAGAAAATGCTAAAAAGAACAGAACCATCTTAATTAGGTTCCCAACTCGGGGAGAGAGCTCCTTGCTGAGATCCTATCTCTGCAGTAATAGAGGAATGCAGATAGACTGAGGCAGACTAAGTTTACAGCAGCTGAGGTGGGGCCTGCAGCATCTTTTATCTTCACAGCTTGTCAGCCAGAATAATTTACCTAAAAATAGCTGCCTGAAGTTGAGCTTTGAATGTAAAATCCTTTTGCCCCTAACATAGAGAATCTCAGCAACTTCACCAAACATTGATCTT